GCTCCGCTCGCGGCCCATTGGACGCTGGAACAAACTCGACCTCACGGCGTATAATTCTGTTGACATTGAGAACGGGAATACGACGCCATTGGGCCTTCGCCACGAGAGACCGTATTGGTTCTCGAAGGTCAAATCGTTCCCCGCCTTTTGAGGTGCTGCCACGTCGATTGTAACATACGAACTGACTCGGAGGACGTTTGTTTCGGTCTTGTATTACCTAGTTTTCATTCGGATACACGGCGATTTCCGCGTTGGGAAACGACGAAATGCGCAGTGTGCACATTGATGCGTCCTGTCAATGGACTATTGAACACACCGACAATGCGTGTTATTCCCTTCCAACGGCAAGGAAGCAGTTGCCTGTAATCTCGACTCTCATTCCAATTTGTAGTCCATCTACCTGTTTCCGACACCGAAAGTAAGTAGTTGGAGCTCCGGTCGATTGCCGAGAACTGGACTAGGTACCAGCTTGTACGCGCGTCCGGCGATACGCGCGTCGAGCGCGCGTTTTTGTTTTTATGCTTATACATCGGGCGCTGCGGTCCGACAGATTGAGATGCGGTACAATGTGCCGTGGCAGAGAGACGCGTCACCTCGCGTCACCTCAGCAGAAAATGCAAGCGACGTTTCATTTGACTCCTTTATAAATTGACCTTTGGGTTCTGGCTCCCGGGAAACTATATTTTTCCGACCACATCCCCCATACACTCAGAGCTCGAATGAAGATCATCCTCACTGGAACAACTGGATTTATTGGGACCGAGGTACTGACCCAATGTCTGCGAAATGCGGACATCACCTCCATCGTCGTCCTCTCACGCCGGCCCCTTCCCAACGCCCTCTCCGCCGATCCAAAAATCCAAGTTATCCTTATGAAGGACTTCAAGATTTATCCGGATGAAGTGGTGAAGCAGTTGGAGGGTGCCGACGCCTGCATTTGGTATTTGCGCGATTTTCTCAAAATTCACGACATGTGGCTAAAATAATGACGGTAAAGGTCCATGGGCACAACAGATGCCATCCCTGAGCTCGAAATCGACTATCCGCTTGCATTTGCGCGCGCCTTTTCCCCCACGTTGGTAGGGCATCGGAGGAAGTTCCGCTACCTGCATACCAGCGGCGTCCTCGCCGAGAAGGACCAGATCAAGTCGTTGCTGTTCCTGCAGGAAGGCCGGCGCATCAAGGTTCGCCTTTTTTGTTCCATTATCCTCCACGACCGATTCGCTTACCAGTTGGGGACACAGGGTATGGCGGAAAACGAGATGATCGCTTTTGCGAAGGACGAGGTGCATGAGGGCGGCTGGGAGACGTATATTGTCAGGCCCGCGATGGTATTGCATGTGGAAGGCGATATGCTCAAGCGCATTGGTGGGTACCTGCTTGGGACCGTCAAAGTCAATGAGTTGGCGGCCGTGATGATTGATGTTGTGCGCAACGGGAACGAGGAGCAAATCCTTCAGAATGCGGAGATTGTTGCCAAGGGTAAATATTTGGTGAATGCCCAGTGAATGTGGTTATATGTATTCATTCCTTACCTTCGTCGCTAGAGAACTTCGAGATGTACTACATGTAATTTTGAGCCGCCGTTCATGCCAAGTTCGATTGCAGTCAAAATCAACATTCGGCTTCGGTGACCTTTGACGTCCCGCGAATGGCTCAAGACATTAGCCACGCATATGGCCTTTGGATTTTTATCCGACCATTTGTGTTGCACATTTAGCTAGCTCTACAGATTTGGCCTGCAATTTGTTATGTTCCCACGGTTCGATTGCGGAACCAATGCGCATGCAGAAAGTGTTACAGTCTGCTACAGTGATATGGTATCTTCTTGCGGCAATCGTTAAAGAAGGCGATAGTTAGTTAAGTCTTTTCCAGGTCCAGATTCTCACTCATGGTAGCTATCTTGAGTCTCTCGCGCCCTGTCAGACTTCCCCAGTTTTTCCTTTAATTAGGAATCCTTGCTGCAGCGAAAAAAACCTGATGCTGACTGTCAGAGCCTGCGCAGCGACGCACAGGGAATTTTGTCATATTATCCCTGATCCTAAATTTTATCAGGGATATGGGCGACGAATTATGTTACATCACAGCTGCACCTTCTGGTTCGGCGGGCCAGGATTTTTAATTGAATTCATTCAAAACAAACGTACGCGGCGCATCCGTATCGTTTCCAAAAACCTCTGAGGGTGGGAGGAGGCACCGAGCCAGAGACGCGCGGGCACGCGGACCAAGGGAAGTTAAAGATGTGCGTTTGATTTGGAAGCCACGTACGATAGCCTCCTTGGTGATGGGAAGGCGGAAATCCTCGCCAGCAATGTAAGTTAGGATACCGAACGGCTCAGTCATAAAATGAATGCTGAGAGTCGACGCGAGAGGCGATGATCGTGGTGGGAGGCCGAGTCGGCATGATGCGGAGAGATTCGGATCAATTTCTCTGGCACGCTCGCTTCCGAGTTCCACGGTCCACCTGCGCCAAACCTGCGCTCTCCCCTCTTCTTCCTAATGATTCCAGGCGACCTTCTGAAAGATATGAATTCTGTACATATTAGCGCCATCAAGTGGAACCCTCCTGAACCTCGACCTTCATTTCGTTATTTTTGCTGACTTGAAATTTCCGCCTCTCGATAGCTCTCTCGATCATGTCGAGAGCGCCGCGGTGTACTCAATGCACAAAGAAGGGAAGAATGGTTATGGCCGCGGAAATGTTGGGCCTCGGCTCCACGACCACTTCTATTACACATAACGCGTACAACATGCAGCTTCCCGACGTCCCCGTTGCAGCGTCCGTCGACGAAAGACTACATAAGGTGGTTCTCGAAATCCTGCCTTCCTAAGGTCGCCGCCGCATTTTTTTCGACAGGTAAAATGCTCTCTCGTTTTCTCGTCCTCGCCGCTACTGTCCTGTGTATCTCGGGTACGATTCTCCATCCACTCCATTCAATTCCAGTTCAATTTTTTTGTTTGTTTGCAGCGCGATACTCCCTGCCGCCGGCACTGCAAGCTTCCCAGGATTCTTCCACCAGCACACCCGCTATATCTAGCAATGCCACTCACATAGAAAAGATCGTCCAGACCGCAGCAGTGATTGAAAACACCGGGCATGCCTCTCATGCAACCCGCGCACCGGAGGGATACGAGTTGGTCTTTGGCCCGATTTCGGCGGCAAATGATGCGCCAGGGGTCTGTACATCTTCCTCACTAAGTTCCGCTCCAGCTCTGAATATTGGTTGAGCAGTACATGGGTTTTGCCTTGCTTGACAAATACGACCCGTCTGTCTGCGCGAAGCTTTGCAATCAACGTGAGCCTGACGCTGTTGGCGGTGCCTGCAAGTTTTTCAACATCTGGCGAGGGCTCGTGAAACAAGCCCGGACGACATACACATGCGCTATGGTTCGTCGCTTCTCACACCCTACCCCACATGGTTCTGATGCCTGCTCTGAAGTACTCCGTGCCAACGAACGCGTCGACGGCAGTCAACGCAGGCCAGGGCCCGCTCACCGTCACGCTCTCTCGCGGCTATGCGCGCATCTCGCACGTCGCGGACTCGGGATTCGAGGACTTCGCATGCGCAGATAATGCGGACTTCTGTTTCGCCGAACAGTCTTCAGGGTGGGTCGGCTCGTCGCCGAGCGGTGGACACTCCGACGCGACGGTGTTTCATTATGCGCTGTACGCGCACACGGGTGCGAGCGTCGGTCTGCTCGGATCTGCGTTCGGCAGCGACCCCCAGCCCGGGACACTGCGGCCGGCCGTTCCGCTCGCGCGGCTGCTTCCCGGGCGCGCGTATGCGGTGCAGTTCTTCCACGCGAGCACGTACAGTGGCGCCGAGCTGGAGGGCCCCTCGTTCGTTGAGGTGTGGTGGAACGGGGTGCTAGCGGGGAGTGTGCATGCGGGGTTCAGCCCCTGGACGTATTTCGAGTTCACCGTGATTGCATTGGGCGGGGGGAACGATACTCTGCACTTCACGGGCGGAAAGGCGCCGGCGTATGATTTCCTCGATGACATTTATCTTTTCTTGTCTTGATTTTTTAGCCAGCCGCTTTCTTCAAGATGTTTCACATCTTCAATTGACTTTCTTGTTCGCTATTTTCTTGTTCGCCAGTATACATGCTGTCCACAATACGTGTCTCCGAGCTTCTGGACTACAATACATGCTATCGTTGTAAATTGAGCTACCACCAGCAGACATCGACTCTCTTCCCCTGCTTATGATGTCTGCGTTTAGGAAAGTCTGTTCCTTGCTCCCCTTGCTCCCTTTACTGACAACATCGATCATGGCGGTGCCCTGGAATGGGCATCGGGACCTCGTCACCAGCGGCTCAACAGAATGTTTGACCAGGTTCCCTGACCTTGATCCCCCGGACTGTCTGAGAGGCCCACAATGGCTTGGTCTGGTCTCTTTCGGCGAAAACGCCGCTGCAATATACGCAGCGGAACGGCTTCTGGGACTGACCCGGCGTTCTTGTAGCCGTCATGGTTGGAATCAGAGGAGATTATCTGAAGGCGTCGAGAGAGAGCAAGATCATGAGCGACGCGTTTTAAACAAGCCACTCGGCAACCACTCGACGCGTAGTCATACCCTGCACTGGGCGAAAGGGGTGCCCCGATCTACAAGTTATAACCTGCTTTGGCTCTGATTGACTTCGGCCTCGTTTCCGTGTAAACGTTTTCAAACGGCAATAACCGTTTGTATTGTCGTTTAGTTTGCCGGGGGAGCAAACTAAAAACAAACCGTTTGCCAAAAACGGCGACATCTAATTGATTTCGACTCCAGACTGCGGCCCGCATCTGTCAGCCAGTTCAGGTCAAACCTACGGCCGCGCGGTCTCGGCAGCACATCGAGTGGAATTGGATCCAGACCCGATTTGGACCGCAACTCTTTCACGAAGGTAGATGTCCAGTTTATCAAGCGAGGTACGATTGATAAAGCGTCTGTCAAGAGAGACTAGATGTCTATGGGTAATGCCCTTGTAATACTGGTGATCGGTCGCACCGTTTTCATGGCACTGTGGCGGAGTGGTTAACGCGACAGATTAGAATCAGTTGAGTACATTACCCAGGTGATTAGCCATCCAGCTATCTGTTCCGGTTTCCGGGCGCATGTTCGAATCATGCCAGTGTCGCTTTTCTCATCTTTTTGCCTTTTCCCTCCCACCCCATGATCTAAATGGGAATTTACCGCACCAAGGAATGATTGGCAATCGTTCCGAAACGATCAACATGATGCTTTATGCAACCTTCCTCCAAGAGTCCCTCCGATACCCACATTAGAAGTAACCATGCATCGGAAGTCTACAGAAGAAGCATGGCGTTAATAGTTGGGTTGGCGGGAAACAGAGGTACGGAAACCAGCTCTGAATCAAAAAGGTCGCGTGGGGCATCGTACGGTACACGATACGTTCGGCAGAAAAGGAACCACCCCGCGGTACTTTTTTCAAAAGCGAAAAGGCGCCGCAAACGATTTGTGGGAGCTAACAGGAAATGATTGAGACGAATCTCCTTTTTCGGACGCCAGCGGTTGCTTGTCTGTGTGTCTCGATCACTTTTCTTTTCTCGCTCACGCTGCTACAACGACTTAGGCCTCAGTGCTCCACGACATGCCTACTACAGAGCCTCAGCCTGACCTGGATACGAAACTTGTGAGACTAGCTAATAGCTGCGAAACTCTGCACTCGACCATGTGCCGCTGCATCAGTATCGGCCTCTCCCATCACCTCGCGTCGTGAAAAACGAAACTCGAGCGACGATCAACTTAACATTTGAAATTCACCGTAAGTATATAAGCCGATGCCTCTGTGAAGATGTTCATTTTCGCTTCGCGCGCCCATCTTTGCTTTTCGTTCGTTCTCATGGTCGCTTCGTCTTTTGTTACTCTGGCCGCCGCCGCTCTCCTCGCAAGCGGCGCAGCTGCCTCCCCCGTGGCCCAGGGCCAGCGGGGTCTGATCGGCGATTTCTTTGAGGAGGTGAATAATGCCTTGGAGGGGGTCATGTCCGGGATCCTCGACATCGTGTCGCCCCCAGCGCCTACTTCCGAGACTGGTGCGTTCCGCCCTGCATATAATGTGTTCGTTTCTGACGTCTAATAGCCGCGTTGGCGGCGCTGTCGGACATCTTTTCGAGCGGAGGCCCAGAAGGCTTCGTCGCCTCTGCTGAAGCGTTGCTCAAGGCTGGCTTCGCGCCGCCGAGTCTCTCTGATCTCCTGGACGTAAACAAGACGTACACCACGGGCGGGAACTCGATGACCAACTCTAATCCGGCCCTCCCCCAAAATTCGCCGATCATCTTCCCCAAGGCGGCCGACGGCGACGCCCCGTATTCGCTGTCGGAAGCGGACCTCCGCGAGGCGATCTACATCCCGGACGGCTTCACCAACGGTGCGAAGGCACCGCTCCTCATCATCCCCGGCACCGGCCAACCCAGCTATATGACCTACAGCCCCAACCTCATTCCGGTCCTCCAAAATAGCACCTTCGCCGACCCCGTCTGGCTCAACATTCCTGGATTCCTCCTCGGCGATGCGCAGCTCAGCGCGGAGTACATCGCGTACGCGGCGCACTACATCGCCGCGCTCACGGGGAAGAAGGTCACGCTCATCGCCTACTCGCAGGGCAACATCATCACCCAGTGGGCCCTCACTTACTGGCCCTCGACCAGGAGCGTCGTCTCCGACTTCGTCGCGCTCAGCCCGGCCTTCCGCGGCAGCATCCTCGTCGACGCAGGGTGCCTGCCCATCAAAGACATCTTCGGGTGTCCGCCCGCGATCCTCCAACAGGGCCTCGACTCTAACTTCGTCAACGCCATGCGGGCCGACGGCGGCGACAGCGCGCTCGTGCCCACCACGCTCATGTTTAGCGCGACCGACGAGATCGCGCAGCCGCAGATCGGGGCTAACGCGACCGCGCTGCTCAAGGACGCCAACAACGTCGGCGTCACGCCCGTGCGCGTGCAGGACGCAAACGTCTGCGGCGGGAAGCTCGCGGGCGGGGTGGCGACGCACGAGGGGATGCTGTACCATCCAGTCACACTCGCCATGCTCGAAGACGCCATGACGCACGACGGCCCCGGCGATCTCTCGCGCGTGGACCTCGACCACCTTTGCGGTTTGGTCGTCGCGGAGGGCATGGGGCTCTCTGCGCTCGTCGACACCGAAGTCGGTCTTGTCAAAGCCGGTGCTGCGTTCTTGCAGTATCGGCCGTACCTGCAGGAGGAGCCCGCCATCGTTTCGTATGCCGCATGAACCCTAACAAAACCCCTCCTTTGCTTCGAAATTATACATACTTAATACTTACTACAGTTCCTTGCCTGTAGATACACATTCGTTATGGCTACCGCAGCGCGCCCAATGACCCGGCGCCTCGCAAATAATTTACTTACTTGACAAATGGCTGTTCCTGGTCTTGCTAGCCCGCACGAAGCAATACATGACAGTTCCTTTAGCAATACAATTATGGTATATACATACAGAGGTGGAGACCAAGGCAAAGAATCAATACTATGTAGCGTGCTTCAACAGATAACGCAGTCGGCTTCGGGTTTCGCCAGGCGTGCCTCGAGGCGCCCGCGTAACGTCTCGTCTGCAGCAATGTACGGAGACCCCCTGCGGAGAGATCGGTATTAGGAAAATCGGGCTGGAGGAAACGAATTGAACTCACGCATATTGCAGGCCGCCCAGCCCAACGTCGCCCTCGGCACCATCGAGGAGCACAATGACGCAATTGCGATGCCCGGGGCCCCGCCCAGGTGCGCGTAATTGCTCGGTCGCTTTCATGCGCACGGAGAGCGTGGGGCGGGGACGGGGTTTCCCGGGGCCAAACAGGCCGGAGGCGAACCCGGAGCCGCTCGGTTCTGTCGCGGACTCGGGCGGCGCGGGGACGAGCAGGCGCGAGTCGAGCCACGTCGGCGGGGAGTTCTCGAGGAGCGAGAGGGAGGCGTACCACGTCCCGGGCGGGGGGAGGTGCGGGCGGCGGCGCTCGTGCGGCGATACGTTGAAGCTCAGGCGCCACATGCGCGCGCGGGCGATGAAGTCGAGCACGATGCACTTGCTGACGAGCATGCGCTTCTGGAAGCGGACGATGGCGAAGTCGACGACGAAGGCGCCCTCCTGGCCTGCCTCGCCGCCGACGTTCTTAACCGTGATGTCGTCCGGGGGCATCGTCGCGTCGAGCAGCATCTCGTCCGTCGCGCTGAGCGGCGCAAATTCGGGCGAATTGCGGAGGCGCTGGAAGAGCGCTTGGTCGCTCGTTAGCAGACACGCGAGGCGGATGTCGGACGTCGTTGCGGGTGTGAGCGGGGTGGACAGGCTGAGGAGGGTCGTTAGCAGATCCGTCCCGGCTTGTTGCTCCGGCAGCTCTGCGGGGCGCTTGACGATGGCCCAGTAGAGCGGTGTGTGGTCCTCGACGCTTTTTTCCTGGAGAATGGTGCTGATGGACAGCCCGTTCGCAGCACATGCGTCGGCGCAACTCTTTAAGATGCTAATAGCAACAGCGGATTGGTCGCTCGGTGGTAGTTTTACCAAGTCGCGAACGAGGCCCAGGACCGTTGCGCGAACCTGACGCGACACAGATTAACCCATGGGGGAGTAACGGACGGAAATTGAACATATGTACCTGGCGAACTGTCGGCGACGCGAAATTGAACCAAGACGGAGTAACGGGCGGAGATTTGAGGGCCGAGGAAGACGAGGAGGATGCTAAGGAGGAACCGCTCGCGACAGGGGAAGCAGGGCTCGGCGGTGGACGCTTAACGTCGTTTGGAAAAGGAGCAGGTGCAGGTGCAGGATACGAGCCGCTGCTTGCCTCGTATGATGGCGGGGCATCGACGGGCGTAGTCGCTGGGTCGAGCGCCTTATCGTTGTCGGTAAGAATCATGGCTGCTGCGACCGTGGACTGTCAAGAAATCTTGGGGGCCGGCTTTATGGCATTGGACGTCGAGCAGCTGCGCAAAGGCTGAGCGCTGATCAACGATCAATGCAAAGTCGCTCAGGTCCATGATGGGCGCAACCGTCAGGAGCAAACTTTATGAACAAATGTACTTTGCTTCAACGCATTGGCCAAATCACTGGGAGCAAAGCGCGAAGATCGATATCTAATTTTTCCAAGTTCAAGTTGACACAAATATCTGTCTAAAATATTGCTCTAAGCCCGCAGAACTGCGGACGACTGCCCCAAGAACCCCGTCCGGCCGCACCACTACAATATCACACCCCATCTTGAACCCATAACCAGAGTACGCGTGCTTTTGCGTATCTTCCAGAATGATATCGGGACCGTGGATGTCCGCAGCCGACGCGCCCGAGGGCACGATCGCAACACAGCGGGCGGTACCCTGGGGGAAGCGGGAAAGCGTCTCCAGAACTGCGCTGTACCGTTCAGGCGAGGCGGAGAAAACGAGGACAGTGTGGCGCGAAACGTCCAACACGTCGAAGAAGCGCGTGGGTGGGCCGCCGTGGACGAGGTCCTCGAGCTCGGGTGCGTCGGGCGCACGGTCGCCGGCCCTCAGGCCGCGGGTGTGCACGCCATACGGATCCATCGGCACGTCCTTCTCCCCATCCTGTTCATCCACGACGAGAGCGCTCCAGCGGTAGTTGATGCCCAGCATGAACATAGAGGTATCGCGGTCCCAGTTCGAGGCGCTGTCGCTGTCCTTGACGTCGACGTAGGCGTTGAGCAGCTCCGTGGTCTTGATGAGCATCGTTTGGATGACGGGCGATCTTTCCTCGTGGTACGTATCCAGGAGAGCCATCGGCGCCTGGCCCCGGAGCACGAGGGCGAGCTTCCAGGCGAGGTTGAAGGAGTCTTGGATGCCCGAATTCGTTCCCTGTACCCCGACCGTGAGTTGGAGAACGCATGATATACATAAAATATACTTACCTGACCACCGGTAGGACTCTGAGCATGGGCCGCGTCTATTTGACAGGTTTGCATTTCTCTTCCACAGAACCGGCAAATGCGTACCTCCCGCGACAAAACAGCGACCCGCCGAGAACTTGTCAACTATTCGAATGTTGGGTCTGAAAACACATAAATATCTTTCATCGTCCAGGCAAGGAAAAGCCACTGACGTCCACTTCGTTATCCAGAGCACCTCAAGCACTTTCAAATCCTTTCTACCAGTGATGTTTGCG